ATACATAAGAAATCACATGCAGCCTTTTATTCAACAAGCAGTTAGTGCCTTTATGTAAGAGATGCCATGGAAACAAAACTGAGTAAGACACGTTTCTTATCTAGAGAGAAGGATATATGAGTCAACCAAACAACATGAAACTATGTGTTACCAGTAGAATGGAAATATGACAGCGCTCATGACCTGACCAGTCTCAGGGAATCTCAAAGAAAAGCAATGGAAGTAGGAAAGGACACTGAATGGACGCCAGAGCTGCCATCTACCAAACTATGAACTCTTCAACTATTCCCAGCACCTGACTTGTCCTCCCCATATCCCTAAGCCAAAATAACTAAGCCACAAAATAATGGCTTCTTTATTTTCTTTCAGTCATCCAACAAATAATTATTGAGTACCTACTGTGTGCCAGGTGCCAAGATAGGTACCTGGATTCTTCTGATTCAAGTCTAGTGACCCATTTATCCTGGGCCTCATATTCACTAAGGTTTCATAGTATAGATTTTTAAATATTATTTCCAAATGATATCATATATACAATCACAGAAGATACACTTACAGGATTAAACTTCAAAGCATATCACAATTTTTATATACTGTTTTGGCAACTTAAGATAATACACACACACACACACACACACACTTATACAGAGTGTACTGAGTAACATGGATTATCATACACATGTACTGAGTAACATGGATTATCAACATGCCCCGACTCCCAAACTGCGTATCACCCACGGCAATGATCCAGGTCTCTTTTGATTTCTTTGGGTTCTGCTGAGCATTCAAGAGGGAGCAGCAAACAAGATAGTCGTTGTACTTGCACTCATAGAATTTAGTGTTAGCGTGGAGACAGAGATGAAATAAAGACACATACCAAATTGATAACTAGTTACTGCATGAGAGGACAGTGGCATGATGTGAAGCTGAGCTGGAAAGCAGAATTTTTGCTTTATCTGAAGTGCTTGAAATTTTACAATATGGGTATATCTATGTATTACTTGTGTAAACATTATACATTTTTACATCAGGCACACCATCAAGAGAAGAACAGCCAGGAAGGGGACTAGAGGATATGGCAGAAGCTGATACCAATGTGGTCAGCAATGAGAATGAGTGAAAAGTCAAGTTGTTGAAGCTTCAGGGTTGGTCTGGAGCTACTATAGCTGCATACAACTTTGTGGTGACTGTTGAGTCCATGTCCTGTGGGAAGCACTGTCAACATAGACTCAAGGCTTTCCATCCCTGAGCTCTTCACTGGGCTCAATCACCTTCTGACCCCGCAAATGTAATGGATTACTTTCATGTACTGAGTAACATGGATTATCAACATGTTATTCTCAAACACCAGTTTGAAACTTGCCTTTCTATGAAGAGCAATAAATCTTACCAGAAGATGCCAAATGCCCCACAGCTATGTTGTCTAGACTAAAATGTCTCATCTCTATTTTATTAAACAAATTGTGTCTTGCCCATTACCGTAAACCTTGTAATCCTTGTGGATTTCCCACAGTTCCATCAACAACAGGGAAGTCCCTGCTAATCAGCTTTCCCTGCATGGAAATGATCTCAAGACAAGCTAGAGAAATAAGAACCAATATCATGGAAATGTTAGCCATGTCCACACACAGTCCACTAATGACAGACAGGGCAGTTGTGACAGACAAATTTTGGGCAAAAATGTCTCCTTATACTGTCATTCTTTTAAATTTTCTGATTATATTTTGAAATATATTCAGATTGTATGGCTTTTACAAAACAGAGGCATGACCATTAACTGATTATCCAATAATCCTTCTGATCAGAGCAATTATGTGTGCGTGTGTGTATGTGTATGTGTACTATTTTGTTTTAATACGGCAGGTGCCCTCTTTGTAGTGTGCAAGGTTATTAGGGATATGTGTACAAGTAAAGCCAGCACAGAGAAAGACAAGTGAATGCATCTCTGTACATGAATGTGCAGTTAATAGAGGAAAAGCTTCCTGTAGAGGGCTTCATATCTGACTTCTGCTCTAACAAGTCAATGGGAGCTTGCATGGTGAATAGGTTGCCAGATAAAACACGGAATAAATTTCGAATAAAAAATAAGTGATTTTTATAGGTACATCCCAAATATTACATGGATGTTCTGTATTTTTATTCGCTAAATCAGACAGTCCTTCTGGTGGAAGCAGGGAAGACATGTATGTCAATCATCTTTCCTTCTTTGTCATGAATATTGTAAACATCAGTATCAATTAACATTTATAGGACATGGGAGATAAGGTCCATGCTATAAGGAAGACCTATGAATGATTCCTGCTACCTGAAAAACTCAGAACATACCTGCTTCTTCAGTTGTGGCCTCCTTGAGATCCTGAACTAAACCTTATTCTTCCTTTTTTAAGATCTATCCCAGTAATTGGTATGTGCTAGATGCTGAACCCTTCTGAATAAATGAGGATATGATAAAAGATGAACTATTAAAGGAGGAAATTTGGGGTGAGGGGAATTTCTGTACATGGCAGAAAATACAGGTAACTTCAAGATGATTGACAAGAGCCAAATCTCCAACTACTTCCATCACCTATGAGCAGAACCTCTTAGCAGAGTGGTTAAATTGAACTATCTTTTAGCTTTGTTAATACAGTTGAACTGTCTCAAACAAGTGTAAAGTATGCTAAAAGCCCTGGGTAGGTGGGGGTTGGGGAATAGACGAAATTGAGAGATCAACACTTATACAATTATTTACTTTTTAAAGCCATATTTAAGGAGGACAAAGCATTGCAAAAGCCCCAAAGGGGAACAAGCAGTTCTGACTGGGACAATTCACGATGTCTTAGGTAGAAGTTATATGAGGTGTACTACATGATATGGCCCTCAGAGGGGCTTTGCACTTTATAGATTCTGTGTGTGTGTGTGTGTGTGTGTGTGTGTGTGTGTGTAATCATAAGTCTATGTGTACATTTATATAAACATATGTATTTTTAAATGAAAAGTTGCAAGAATAGTTCATTGAACTCCCACATATTCTATGTTATTCATATCAACTGTAGTTGATATGATCTGAGTCTGAGAGAAAATTCACATTTCCTTTTGAAGTACTCTAGCATGGAAATGTTTAAGTAAATAAAGTAGTATTGGTCCCAGTGAAGATGTATAATAATTTTTGTTTTTTAATGTACCTTATTTTAAAAAAGTTTGTTTTATTAAATAAAAAATACTTGCTAACTACAGAAAAACTTTAAAAACCTAGGTAAATAAAAATGCAAAAATAAGAATCACTCATTATTTTTCTGGTCAGAGATAATGACAACATTTATAGCATATATACTTCTAGATTTTTTTCTGCGATACACGTATATTTGTTATAGCGAATATGGTATCAGAGTCTACATACTACCATGTAAGCTTCTTTTTAAGCTACAAAGTGAATCTATTCAAGTGACCAAATCAGTATATTCCCACATAATAACTTGTACTGCTTGTACAGAAATTTTAGCTGATGAATTACTTAACCAAATACCTGTTGCTAAACATTTAAATTGCTTTCAGCTTTTTGTGGTGATAAACTTTTCTAACAGCTAATTTTTTAAAGACATTCATCATTATTTCTTAATCATAAATTCCTGGAGGGAGAACTACTAAGTCAAAGATTATGTATACTTTTAAGGCTTTTGATACATATCACCATCTTGCTCTTTACAAAGGTTGTGTCAACTTACATAAAAGGTCCTCTTTTTCCAATTATTTTTCCAAGTTAGTCATCCCACAAAATCTGTGAAATCAGATATGCATATGTTTATATATATATATATATATACATGCTTATATATATATAAAAAATATAGAATAATATATGTAGTAAGGTTTCTTTTCATAGGAAACCAGTCCAAAAAGAAAAATTTTAAGAAATCTCACTTGTCCACAATTAGCCTTGGGTGCTGTCAATTGATTTAGACAAGAACATTTTAAGCGAAATTTTCAATTAAAGTCACCATATTTTGGAACTGTGGTTGTTTACCATTCTAAAATGACTTTATTGAAAATTAATGTATTTCTTTTTTATGAAGATAATTAAGCTAGCCTTATTTAATGACATCCCACTTCACGTTCCTGGAGACAGGAATCCATTTGCTTTGACCATAACCAGAAGAAGGTTATTTGGCAAAGTGAAAACCATAAATGTTAAATAGCCATCATTACCACAGTAACACTGGTCCAGGTGTAAAGCAGTTTGGCTAAAATGGGTTATCACCTACTCATATACCTCCTCAATAAAAACGAAACAGGAACAAACAAAAACCATTACAGCATCTAGAACCTCCAAAGAAGAAAAGATAGCCAAGCAAAAGTTTTAAAATACTAAACCATATCCAAAGGCACAGCAAATGTATGATACTATAAGACAGAAGTTAATAAAGCAGAAAAACATTTCTCAATATACTACTCCCTTGAGGACTTTGATAAATGATATCAGAGCCTGTGAAATGCTAGGCGGGATGGGAAGTGCTGGTTCGGTTTTAACTAAAGGAAAGGAGAGCTCGAGAGTATCAACATTTTCTAACGGCAACAGAAAACCAAGCCGGCTTAGTCTTCTATTTGATAAGTGCCATGCTCAATTGACCAACTCTGTTTTTCACCTTTTTTGAGACCCAGAAAAATCAAATAAAAAGAAAATATCCAAATTAAGAAGCTTAATTTAACAACGTTGGCCTTATAATCAAATAATTATAGTCATTTGGTCAATGTCTATGATTAACTCAGTGAAATGAGATGTTTGGCTATAGGGCCAGTACAAAAAAAAAAAATTCTTGGAGGATCATTTCCTCTTATGTAATAGTGTTGGATGAGTGAATATATAGAGTCACTCAGTTCTTTCCAAAATACTCTGCATCAGTCTTGTTATGATGATTCTATAGTACTAGGATGGATCATCCAAGCATCTATGATAACACAATGGTAATGCTTTGCTCACTTTTCTCAAAAAAAAAAAAAAAAAAAAAAAAAAAAGCCTCAGAGGCAAAGGAAAGGGGCTGAAACCCTGAGAAACATAAAATGACGAATGAATAAACTCCTCCCTGCCGAAGATATTCAGATGTATAAAAGGCACACAAGGGCATACTTAAGATCTAGAACCTCACAGTCAGCCTTGAGTTTGGTGGATTTTTTAGCTTGGAAAAAAAAAAAATGAGCACCAAGCCTCATATGATTAGAAAGTGTTTGTGGCCTGCATGCCTCATGGGTCTGCTCATCACTGGCATCCTCTCTTTGGACTGTAACTTGCTGAATAGAGTCACCTGGCAAAATCTGAAACTTCTGAGCAGTATGAGGAATTCATTTCCCAAGGATTGTCTAAGAGAAAACAAAGCTTTTGAGATGCCCCAAGAGATCCTGTATTCCACACAGCTTCTGAAAAGAGACATCAAAGAGGCCTTCTATGAAATATCCCTACAGGCCTTCAACATCTTCAGTCAATACACCTTCCAATCTACTTGGAAAAAGAAATACCTCAAACGAATCCAAATTGGACTTCATCGGCAATTGCAATACCTGGAACAATGCTTAGAAGAAGAGGAGAAGGAAAATGAAGACATGAAAGAGATGGAGGAGGATGAGAGTAAATACCCAGGAGCTATGGTCTCCCAGCTGACCAACCTAGAGCTGAAGAGATATTTCCACAGGATAAGCAGTTTCCTGAAAGACAAGAAATACAGTCACTGTGCCTGGGAGATCGTCCGAGTAGAAATCAGAAGATGTTTCTGCTACTTCACAGCACTACTCAGGAAAAAATAAGGTATATTTTTTAAAACTAGAATTCCATTTCTCTCCAAATCCGCTTCTCCTTCATCTTTTTAAGAATCATTATGCTAGTCTTAGGTCAGCCCTCGGCTAGATTGGTGGTGGTTTATGTAATGTTTACTGTCTCTTAAAGTTTGGCCAATCATCCCTGAGTGACCAAGAGTCTTTGTTAGAAAGTCCTGAATACAGTTTTAAAGGAATAAGATTCTCCTCTCCATCTCCTACTCTCTGTTCTTCTTTCCATTTGCTATTTTGTACTTGCTTTCCTATATCACCTTTGAACTTCAGGAAGCCAATGACTAGAGGATATGGATCGGAGTGTGTTGCAAAATTTAACACCTCAATAACTTAACCCTCTCCTTGCCAAAGTTGTTTATGAAAGTTCATTATCTTAAAAGAGCTTATACAAACGTCAATAGAGTTAAAATTCTCTCCAAAAAAAAGGTGGGGAGAGTTGAAATTCCTGGCTCATTTGTTTCTCAGGTTGGTTTGCTTGGAATGATACAAAGTTTGTAGGAAGGTATTTTATTATTTTAAGAGAGTGAAGATCCATTCTCTGATTTTGAATAGTTGAATTCCGTGACCACTAAGCCCTTGTTCAACTTCTGAGAGCCTATGATTCTAAGGCAGAGAGTACCGTTCATTCCTAATGCATATTATTTGATTTCTACATCTAAAAGCATGAAAAATGCTGCAGAAAAGTGTAGTATCTGCCTTCATTGTTTTGTGTACCTGAAATGAAATGCCTACAATCATACTAAAAAAAGAATTTCGCATTGGATTTTTCCAATTAGAAGACCACTTTCTGCCTAAGTAGATTCGTCATTTTAATAATACCTGATGCTTTAATATTTTTTATATTTTTAAGTTATTTTGTACCTAGATTGCCAGATTATTCACTTAAATTTTCTCATGTGTTTCTTCATCTGTATTAATTCATCATCTAGCTGAAATAAATTTCCTTTTCCTTCTTCTTCTCCACCCCATTTCAGAATCATCTACTTTCAAGCAAGAACTAACGCCGAGATTGTGGATACACGAAGCACAAAAGGGTGAAAACGTACCTGGTTCAGTCCTTGGGAAACTTCTCCTGCTATTGTTTTAACACTGTGCGCTAAACAATTTAAATTCAAGATTTATCCAAATATAGGTCTCAAATGGTATCGCCAAACAGAGAAAGTATTATGATAAAACTGAGGCAAATTTCAGTCAGAGTTAGAATAAATGCTTAAAGAACAAGAACAAATTGTGGATCGTGGTATGCTGGTTATCAGTGAAAGGATCAGACCATAAAGTGAATTAGTATCATCTATTTAGTAAAAACAACCTACAAACAGAGTTGTTCTAAAAGGAAAAGAAAAACAAACAATAAACAATTCTACAAACTGTAAAGGAGTTGGGGCATGCAAACTACTAAGCAGAAAGTATACACTTGGTATTTTCCATGGATTCTCTAATCATGCCTTTATGTGGACTCCCTAATAACTCTACTGGGATCATGTCAGTTACTTTAGTAATTTATGGTTGTAGTCTTGTCAAATGTTTGCTATACAAGAGGAAAGAGAATTGGCACTTCAAGTCAATAAAGATTGTCTGATTGCACAGGCAAGGGCAGAAGTCATAACAGTATGCTTTTACTAAGATTATCTCTAGTCAGAAAAAGGAGATCATGGCCACTGAAAAAGGACACAAACTGGCTTCATCCCTAAGGAAGAAATACTGACAGATAATATACATTTCATTTCATTTATAATTGAGGAAATGCAAAGGAAGACAGTAAGATACTTCTCCCCGCCCCATGAGTCTGGTAGAGATGAAAAGGAATGATAATATAGAGTGTGTATTGAAGTGTAGGGTATAGGAAAAAAATCCTCTTTTCTATTGCTGGGGAGAGGGTAAACTGGCACGAGTTTCCTTCAGGACAATATAGCAATCTTAAATATCCTAAAAAGATCATCAACACCTCTAACTTAACTATCCTATCTCCAGAAATGTATTCCAAAGAAATAATAAGATTGGATAAGATTGTTCACTGGAAGCTTGTTTATATTCCTCCTCTCTTTGTTCTCATTTTCACCTCTCTGTATTTTCTACAGTAATTGGCAGTGTGTGTGTGTGTTGCAGCGGAGGGAGTAATTCTAAAATTAAAGAAACTGTAGAAACTTATCTTCCTTAGGGATGGCCCTGTTTTCCTTACTGGCGTAGCTGGGATGAGCACTGCCCTTTCACTTTGGGCACTTCTTGGGCAAACCAGGTCTTCCTTGTTGCTTCTCTCCTGCTGCTACTAAATTTCAAAGGAATCCTTCCTTGGGAATCATTTTCATAATGAAGTGCTTGTAAAGTGCCTTAAGGTGCTTCAAAGATTTTATTATTTTCTTTAGTTGGTACCACTGGTAATATCCAGAAATCGCTCGGAAAAAAAGTGGTCTATGCATCCTGACTTAGCAGTCTCCTTTTCTCTTTACCAAATGGAAGTGCAAAAGTTCTGTTAAGTCAGGTAAAGGGAAAACTAGAACTGTTCACAACTAAATGTACAGTTTTCACTTAAAATGCCTGACTTGGTACATAGGTCACAAGTGTCCGAATGGAACCTTCCTCCCTTCCCTGGTTTGAGGAAGAGACCGAAAAGTGAGAGGAAGAAAGAGTATATGTAATTGAGTCTCCTCGGAAGAGGGGCTCACTGGGCGCCCCACAGGAAAAAGCTGACAACGTCAGTACATGCAAGGATAGAAGATAAAGGTTCCAACAGGTGCTCAGACTCGGCCTTTTCTCATGACAAAGCAAGTCTGGCGCGGACACCATTCGCGACCCTGTCTTTCCAGAGTGCTACTTCGCTTTAGCCCTAATTTCTTAATAAATAATGCACACTCACTAAGAATGAGCACGATGTGTAAGCATCTAGCTTATGAGGAAATGGAGGGCAATAGGGCGACCGATTTATAATCTCACAGGCGCACCCACAGGGGAACTCGGGGCCAGTCCCAAGCCACCGGTTCTTAGGGGCTTGGAAGTGTGAACACGGCCTAAGAGGCGTCTGCGTTGTGTCCTCCACGTCAGCATTTTATAAATGAGGAGAAAGGACGTGGGATTTAAAGTTGGGGTCCTACGCGAAATCAGAACTCCATGTTCATTCTGGTGGTAGCCACCTCACCATTATTTCTAGGCAAAGACTTTTTTCCATCATCATTTTCCACCATTTCCATCATCGTTCTCTTTAAGGCTACTGGCCTGTCCTTCAGCCCTTGGCAACTCGCAGACCTCAGAACGGCTTTCTGCCTGCCAGAGTGCCCTGATTCTGTCCCGCTGCCCTGGCAGCAGCCCTGCTACACGCCTTTAGGCGGAAAATGAAGTCCGCTGGAACCTACCAAAGGACACCCTGTAATGGGGCGGAACCTTGCTTCCACTCTCTGGAAAGCGGCGCCCCTCTCGCATCTGCGCCCTTTGCAGCGCGTGTGGGATAAGATCTGAGAAATGCGCCCTGGGCCACAGGCAGCCGAGGAGGCGGAGAAGGAACAACTTTCCCCCCCCGCCCTCTAACCACAAGGCCCGGGTGGGGCGGCCTCGCCGGGGTCCGGGTCCCGGGCGGGAGCGGGCCGGGTGGGGGCTTCCTTCTCTCCTCTAGTGCCACCAGATGTTGGAAAGGCACACAATAGGGAAAACGCGGAGAAACAAAAAGCATTCGCCACGATCTCAATCGGCTCTGTCGCGTGGTCCCTGTGGGGAGGACATCTGGGAGGGGGTCAGAAAGGTGGGTGAAGCGGGGGGTCGTGATAAGTTTGGAGTCTCCGATACTTACTTGCCTGGCGCTGGGGTCAGCCCTTTACCCTCCAGAGAGGGGTCCAAAGGCACGGAGGAGCAATCAAAGGAAAGTTAAAGGGTTTTGACCTTCTTCCTCGTAGAGGGAAAGGGAGGGGCTGCGATGTTTGACAGTTGTTGGCCCCAGGGTTCGGCGGGATTTATACATCCTTTACACACCCTTTCCCTTCTCTAAGCGTGAACAGTTTAGGGGCGACTTTGCCGACAGAGCGGAGTTCCCCTTCGCAGCCCCACACTGAACCTCCTCCTTCAAGATCGAGACGCCCTAAACGTTGTCCCCCTGCCCAGTCTCACTTTTGTAAAAGTTTGTTTTCCCGCCACCCACAGCCCAACACGCACCCTGCAGTCATCTGCGATTCGGGATAGGTTTGGGGACAGATTCGTACTCAGAAGGAAGATAGGTTTTATGTATACACATTTTAAAATCAAGGCCCCGGGGTAGGGACCGGACTCTCGATCCTGCCCGGGAAGCGCGCGGGAGGAGCCAGTCAAGAGCCAAGACGCGGGGCAGGGGTCTGAAGCGGATTTCAGCCCCGGAAGCGCACAGAGGGCGGGCGGAGAAGCGAGGTTCGCCACCTCCCGTCCCGCTGTGCACCCGCCCCCAGGGGCTCCCCGCATCTCTGCCTGCCTGGGCGCGCCTGGAGCAAGCAGCTGCCAGGCTGCGCCACCTCCCTCGCTAGAAGCGAATTCTCACTCACCGTGGGGTTTTACCTTCAGCCCGGGGCCCTGTTGGCTTCCTGTGCCAGGTCAGCTGCAGCTGGCGCGAGAGGAAGAAGGTGAGCTCGGGACAGGAGTGACTCTTGCGGACCCACGAGAGGGGCTCTAGGACCAGCGAGCGCGCGGGCGAGCGAGCGTGGGGTTCCAGCTGCAGCCGCTGCAGCTCCAAAGTAGCCCCCGCAGGCACTCAACGCGCCGCAGCCGCGCGGGGGCGCCGAGCCGGGACCTCCTGGCGGCTGCTAGCGGAATGGCAGCTCCTTGGGAAAGAAGTCAGGTCGCCTTCGGGTCATCTTCCCTCGGGAAAGAGGTGAGGAATGGACAGTCTACCAGACTCCCAGCCTTAAGGAAAAGACATTGACCCTCTGGCCAGGGCGGCGAGGAAGATATCGGATCAGAAAGGATGCGTTCTGGGTACACAAGGGTCACATCCAAAGCGCCAAGGGAGCTAGAGAGAGGGCGATTATCTTCTCCAAGATTTTCTCGCTTGTTGAAAAATGCCATCCACTGCCTGACTGAGGGGAAGCATTAATCATTGGGAAATACTTTGAGATTCTTCCGGATTTATTAGAAAGAGCTGAGAGTAGTGAAATGAGCATAGGTTTTGAAGCCCAGTCCACAGCCTGCCACTGTCTACTTGAGTGATCTTGGTCTATAACCTATAAGCCTCAGTGTTCTCTTAAATTAAGGAGAGCAATATCTAACTTGAAGGATTGTTTGTAAGGGGTAAACTAAACATAGTATTCATAGTTCATAGTAGGAGTCATTAAATATGAAGATTCCTGAAGAAAAGAATGAATCTTCCACATCTTTTTATCCCCATAAGATGGCATCTTAATGTATATCGATCGAAGAGTACCAAATGACTAAGTATTTCATTTTATAATTCTTATTACACATTTAAAGAGGTATGATTTCCAAAAGTGGTTTC